CTTGCACATTGCGAGGGACTCTTACAACAACTGATCCGAACGCTACTCATCAAACCAAATAAGCACAAACAGTGGCAAGATGAGTTGCAAACTTTCAGGCGAAAACATGGGACAGTTTTTCAGGGGAGTCGAACAGTTAGATGAAGGTGCAAGTTAAGCCAAGTTGCGTCTGCCCACTGACACAAAGAGCAATCACCCCAGAGCTCTGGACAGGTCCAAGGATCATAAGTTGGCCCACCTCAGTTCCAGCGCATCACAGGAAAAACTCACAGACTAGAACCACGACCCTTCTTTCTACTGCCTTACAGTTCAGTCCAAGTGTAGTTTGAAGTGCTGGGAACCCCCGACGTCCAGCAGGAAGTCATCAGGCCATTGACACCCCGTCAAGGAAGTGTTAAGCACAGTCGTCGAGCTCGTATTTGCCAACGCCAACTCGTCTCCACACCAACAGAGTCGATAATATCCACCGCCCAAGGTGGGCTTGATGGTCAAGTTTTGATCGAAATGAGGTACCTGAAAACTGTGCGTTATGACTCCACACGTCTCCATGATGAGGATTGAACCTTGGATTTCGTCCATCATGTTGCCTTGAATTCGGTCCATCTCGCAGCTATATCCTGAGATGCAGGTCCGATACTGTTCGAGTGGCTGGGGGCCCAGGATGGTCAGCGAGCCAACCTGCACTGGATGCTCCATGCAAAAGTCTCCAGCCCCTGCACACCAGCAAATGCGATAAGTGCCTCCAGGCTCCTTGAAGACCTGGCTACCGTTTTGGAAGGAGAACCCATACCTCTCTTCTTCAAGATTTCCACAAAGACCGCTTGAGGGAATGGCAAGCAACCGATCAAAGCTGTAATCTTCCATGCCAACACCTTCCACTGCAGGGATCAAGCAAGCACTGCCACTAATACAGGTTCGGTGCTGCTCCAATGGTGCTGGACCAATCAACATCAATGGTCCCACATCAGTTACAAAATCCAAAAGCGATGAGCAGCCATAACCCAGGCTTGTTTCAACACACCAGCAGAGCCTGTACAAGCCTCCAGGTGCAGATACAAGAACGGTGCCCCAAGTATTGTTCTCCATGACAGGGCTTTCCAAAGACGGAAAGCCAGCTGGTAGTGTCGAGCCACAGGTTTCCATGATAAGAAGCTTGTTGGAATCCGACAAACCATAGCCCAGCAATGACTCGATACGACAGCTTTGGCCAGCCACACAGCTTCGATCTTGATGATGTGCAGGACCCACGAAATGAACCGTGCCCGAATCAATTCGAAAATCCGCGGACGCCTCGCAAGGTGATGCCAACGCATCAGCACACCAACAGAGCCTATAGATCCCTCCTGGTTGAGTTAGGAAACCAAAGCTCCAAGAGCCTGACGACGTCAGTGATGAGATGGTGGGAGAATATTCCACATTTCCGCAGGTGTCCAGCAATGCAAAGATTCCCACAGAAGAATCCTGCGTGGGAACGTCAACCTCGCAGTGTCGTCCACTGAGGCATGTGAATTCTCTGAGAAATGAAGCTCCCAAAACTGTGAACTGCCCTACATCCACGCGGAAAGATTCGAGATTCAAGCAGTCAGCCGTGACAGAGCACCAGCAAAGCCTGTAGGTAGCACCAAAAGTGGACACAAGGTCTTGGCCAAAAGAAAATGTGATGGAAGCCTTATTGGTGGCCTTACCGGAATATAGTGAATAGACTTCATTCGACACATTCGTCGCGTTTGCTTCTGTCTCAAGGCGGCCACCATTTGGCAATCCATAGGGAACATGGCCAACACCACAAGTGTCCAAGATTTGGACCAAGTCGCCTGGCAAAGCACCTTCCAAAGTCAATCTACAGGTTTCTCCACTCACGCAAGTGCGATCTTGGAGCAGTGGAGGTCCCAGTAGCGTCAAGCTTCCAAAATCAACCCGAAAGGACTCTGCAGTGGAGCAGCGGTATGGAGCAATCAGTTCTGGCTGACTTGAGATATTGGCATCCCACTCAAAGGTCCCGCCATGACACCAACATAATCGATATTGGCCACCGGGCAAAGTGATCGATGTCCAGGTGATGCTTAATTGGCCAGTTCCTTCCTCCGACAAGCTCCCCAATGGCCAAGTCGGAGGGAGAGTGCTCTGTCCACAGGTGTCCTGAACAGCAACACGGTCCAAAGATGACAGCATATTCCCACGAAGGTCGCGAAGATGGCAATGTTGCCCGCTGACACATGTCTGATCCTGATGAAGTGGGGAGACACCAACCAGGGACAAGCGTCCAAAGTCTGTGCCAAAATCAGTTGCAAACTGGCAGCTCCAGCTGATGTTGCTTGCATTGCTCGTAAAGTTTGCGTTGGCCACCGGACTGGAACACCAGCACAAGCGATATTCTCCTCCTGCTGCTGTTGCCAAGCTATACAATGCGGAAGGCTCTGAGTTTGACAGCGACATGCTTTGCAAGCTTTGCCTTTCATCAAAGCCACCACCAAAAGCCAGCGTGCCACAGGTATCAAGCACCCAAAGATATCCATTCAGAGTGCCAGTAAAACCAGCAAGTTCGCAGGAAAGTCCACTGATACATGTACGATGTTGGTAAAGAGGGGCTGGACCCAAGAGAGTTAGCTGTCCAACATCCACCAGTGCATTCTCCACACTACATCCACCTTGCCATTCTGAGCACCAGCACAATCGGTACGTTCCGCCAGGTGCAGATGGCAACATGGTCCAGCTCACAAAGGCACCACTGGCAGCACTGATGGATGCTTCATCCGATGAGCGAAGCAAGGTGGCACGGTCAAGTGCGCACGTGTCCAAAACAAGAACGATGGATTTGGACACCAGGTGTCCTGACAGGTCTGCCAACATACACGCTTCACCACTGATGCAGGTTCGGTCTTGTTGCAACGGGTACAGCCCCACCAAATCCAATCTCCCCAAGTCCACGGTAAATTCGCTGAGCCGTTGGCAATCCGATCTTCCACACCAACACAGCCGATAGCTCCCGCCCGGCGCGGCCCAGGATCCGATCTTGACCTCTGCGGACCATGCGTTGAAGCCGTTGCCCGGGAAGGAGGTGACCGACACGGAGGGCGAAAAGGTCTCCAAGAGATTGTCCAATGACACTCCACAGGTGTCCATTAGAGCGAGACTGTCTGCTGCAAGGGTTCCATACATGGAAAGAGAGAATAAACACGTGAGGCCACTGACACAGGTCCTGTCTTGTGGCACCAAAGCAGGGCCAAGGACTTGCAGGTCTCCCACCTCAATCAAGAAATCCTCCGCGGAGACGCAAGAACCACTGGGCTCCGCAAAAGCACTGCACCAACACAATTTATAGCTTCCTCCAGGTAAGACCAGCATTTCTTCGACGTCCCAGCTGGCATGTTCACTGTTGTTGCCCAACAGCTTTGGAGCAGGTCCAATAGCTTTCCCTGCACCACACGTGTCTAAGATGATCAAAAAGTCCTGCAACATGTTAGACTGTCGAGACATTCTCTTCGTGTGTTAAATGTATTTTGTCTACCAGAGTCTGCCCCAGAGTCTGCCATGTATTCTGCCACATGCTACTTTCTGTTTACAACATGCAGCTACAAATGTGCACGATTGCTGGAGCTAGAACAAAGCGAAGCACTCAGATCCCTTGTCTTGGAGTGAGAAACAGGTTTGCTTTTGATTTTAGACGTCCAAGGCGCGTGTGAACGCTTTTTGACATCGATTCTTGAACAGCCCCTATAACGCGAAAGCGAACGCATGGTTTGGGGTGGAGGCCAAAGCCCCCTCGCTTCGTTTGGCGGAACCGCTTTTGGAAGGATGGTTCAAGTATGGCTTAATGGAAGTAGGGGGGTTCGGTGCGTCCACGCCTTACACCTGACCTGTTGTTTCAGGTCAGAACCTACTAGCTACCATACAGAGAGCAATCTTGTGAGTCCTGATCATGAATGTCACCGGTCACCACCTCATCCAATTCGCATCGCAGCCCACTGATGCAAGTGAAGCCATTGTAGATTGGAGTGGCTCCGATGAGGAAGAGGCCACCAACATCAACACGATAGTCTTCTGCTGTCCTGCAAGGTGATTCGGTGGTCGTATTCATGAGTACATCTGAGAGATTCGTGAGCAAATTGGATCCGTTCACCGTTGAGTTGGTGAAGGTCCAGTTCCCAGCAGTGACCATGGTCAATTCGAGTTGGCCAACGCACCAGCAAAGCCTGTACTCACCAGCGGAAGTGAAGGGGGCAATTGCTGAGATCGAGCTTTCTGCCATAGACCATCTCAGAAACTCTCCAGGGATTTCATTTGGTACTCCACAAGTGTCAAGAGCAACAAAAAGATTGGAGCTGTCAAGGAGGTGTCCCGAAATTCCATCCAACCTGCAGGTCATGCCAGCAATGCAGGTCCGGTCTTGTGTCAGGCTTGGCCCAACGATCGTCAATGTTCCAAAGTCCGTTCGGAAGTGCTCACCGATACTGCAATGATACCCCGAGGAGCACCAGCAAAGACGGTAGAGACCTCCCTTGGCCGTGACGGGAGAATTCCAGAAGACTGATGCCCCACTCCTCAAGGGGTGTCGCGTTCATGGGTTTTTCCGAATGCATTCATCGTATTTGTTTCAGAAGAAGACCTGACACCGACCTCCACTTCTTGACAGCAGTCTTTTGGTTGCTGGTGATTGATGAAAAAGTGCTGGACATGAATGGACATGGCAGCTTGTTTCCACTTTCTTCTTGTGTTCACATGGTGTTCGCGTCCGAAACTGCATGTCCAATCCGAAGAAAAAAGCGACAGCCTTGGTCCACCCTGAACGACAGTGTTCTGCGTCGAAAAAGACATAGAACAGCCCCATCTACTTTGCCTTTTCCTAGTGGTCTTTGGGGTGCCTCCCTGTCTCAATACACAGCCAGAGCAGCCAGAGTAAACCGCTATAGTCACTATAGACTTGGTTCAAGGTGCAAACTCTTGCGCCGAAACGTCCAAATCATGTGGGATGACAATCATCGGTTTTTCTTTGCTGCTGCAGCTCATCTCCCCACACCTGCATTTACACAGCCTGGGAATTCCTGTGAGTAGTACCAAGAAGGAGAGCGAAAACATTCATATGACAATGTCTTGCAAAGCCTTGCAAACCTTTTCTGCATAACTCCCACTTTCCCAATACAGGAATGGAACAAACCGACACTCGGTGTCATCTTGCATGGCATTTTCAAGCGGAACACCGTTCAAAAAAGAGCGATAGGAATCGCGATCGGATCGTCGTCCTGGAGACATCTGGGAGCAAGCCGAAATCTGGAAAGCCCTGGACATGAGCAACTTGACCACATGTTTCCATCACAATGACCTTGTCATAATCCGAGAGAGCTTCACCAGTGATGTGAAGATGGCATGGAAGGCCAGCAATACATGTGCGCTCTTGCTGTAGGGGTGCTACACCTAGCACTGTCAGCTGACCTAAATCCACACGAAAGTGATCCAAGATGCAGGAGTTGTTGCGAGCAGCACACCAACACAAACCTCAGTTTGACGCAACCAACCAATTTCCACATAAGAACTCAGAGTCTATATAGTTTAGATTCCACAAGCTTGTCTGCAGGATTGCCGTCTTCTCCAAATAATTGGGATGAGGATGAAACCACAAAATGTGATAGTACAGGCCTTACATCTGGAATGCCCTCCCTTGTCTTGTCCTACGAGAATGCTTGCTCCCACCTTTCCAAACACCTTGCTCCCAACCTTCGAATGACGAAGTATCCTGAGGCTCGGGCGGTAATCATGACCTGCCACCAACAAAGCTTCATCCCATTGTGCCCTCAAAGTGGTTCCCCCCGTTTCAAGCGGAGTGATGGGCCGGGCCAACTGGAAGAGTGCTTCCTCCGAACCGCACGTCTCCTCGTGAATCATCACGAGAAAGTCCAGCTCTTGCAGCGACGAGTTCATCAAGGAGAAAGTGGTCTCAATGGCAGCGACACAGGTCTGTCCAGACACACAAGTCCATCCAACACTTGAGAACTTCGGGCCAAGCATCTGCAAAGTGCCAAAGTCCACACGGTAATCTCGACCCTGATGACAGTGACTGTAAGTTGAATTATGATAAGTCCAATCTGCGCACCAGCAGAGCCTGTACTGCCCACCATATACAATCTCATTTTCTGAAAGCCACCGCTCATTGCTGGCTGCTACTGCTTCACTCGAGGAGTTCCGGAAGGCATCGAGGCTGGAAAACTCTGCGACATATGGCTTGGAAGCTACACCGCATGTATCCAGAATGGCGTAGCTGTCCACGGACGAAAGGCCATAGCCTGTGATGTCTCGCATAATGCATGACAGGCCAGTCACACAGGTCCAGCTCTGCTGCAAGGGAGCAACCCCTAGAATCAGCAGCCCTCCCAGATCAACCTGGTACTCAGAAGGGAAGGAACAAGAGCTATAGCGAGAAGCATTGGTGCTGTTTGTATCATTCACTTGAAGCTCCTTGCCGGCACACCAACACAAACGATACTGTCCACCCGCCACCGAAAGCCGTGTGCTTCCCAAGCCAGCTCGTGAGAGAAAGACCGTCTCAGTGTCCAGCTCCGGAGGACAAAAGGGTAAGCAGTCAGCCTGCGCCAGGCGTGACACTCACTGCTGAAGAAGAAGACACGTCACTAAGACGGCGACACGTCTGTGTTTGGGAGTCGTCGACCTACCTTTGCCACGTACCTGGGGGGGTTGGATTGGCCTCCAACCTACTAGTTAGTGACCATCAGACCTTCTGACCTCGAGACCTCGACGGCTTCGACGGTGTCCACGTGCGACGGACGAACCGGTCGATGGTCCTTGTAGTTTCCATCGGCATCCTCATCCGAGGTGCCGCAGCCGCAAATGCCACTGAGATTCTTTCCACCATCCAAAGGACAAGCATCGACACAGTCTGGGACACCATCACCATCCGAATCGGTATCAGGTACATTGCAACCACACTCACCTATGGCAACTGCAACGCTGCAGTCGTCGAAAGGACAGGAAAACACCGACCAAACCGGGAGACCGTCCGGTTGACCATTACATGAAACGGAATAGACTACTAAAGGGATATGTATGGTCTTTGTATACTTTTTGTACGGTTATATAAGTATACAATGCATAGATAGTGTGTTCCAGGCTTTGCCCCTGCTACGTCACCTGGCAACACTTTGCCGGCATCGTTCTCGCAGAAATCCAGGTAGTCCACCGTGCCGTCCCCATCGGTGTCAGTGTTGGGCGTACCGCAGCCTCCTGGTCCCGGAGCCAATTTCAAGGGATCCAAGGGACACAGGTCGTTGCAATTGGCCGTGCCATCGCCATCGTCGTCCGCAAAGGCCAAAGCGCATTGACACACTCCAGCAATGCTGTCCGGTTGACTGGGACAATTGTCATAACAATCTGGAGTCCCATCGATGTCAGAATCGACATCCGACACACCACAGCCACATAACTCCGGATTGGTTTTGCTGGGGTCCAAAGGGCATCGGTCCTCGCAATCCAGAACTCCATCGCCGTCGGTGTCGTCCTCAGACGTGCCACAGCCACAATGACCTGGCATGGTCTTGTTGCTGTCGAAGGGGCACCAATCCAAGCAATCTAGGGTTCCATCATTGTCAGTGTCCACGTCAGGAACTCCACAGCCACAAATTTCGGGATAGATCTTGGCAGGATCCTGATAGCAAATATCACCACCGCAGTACGTAAGACCATCACCATCTACATCTTGAAAGCCCACCGAATAAGTCGACAAGAAGGAAGAGGTCAGGAAGGGACCCTGTGGCAAGCCCTGCGGCAAGTGGGAGACTCCACAGGTCTCGAGGACAAGAAGCGTATCACCAGGAGTTGACAAGTGAAAGGTCAGGTTTTCCAGAGTGCAGGTATTGCCACTGATACAGGTACGGTCCTGGAGCAGGGCGTTGGTACCACAATTTCAGAGATTCAGAAACAAATCACACATTGAAAGTGGCAGGCGGGTGGTTCAGATATGTATGGGAGAGGGCTTAAACACGAGAGTCAAGCAGCAAAGTGCCGTCACTTCTTTTTGGGCGTCCTGAAACAAAGGTGTGGGGCCCATGATGTTCAAACTCCCAACCGTCATGCTGAAGTCTTCATTGCAGACCTTCCCCAAGGAGCCCGAGCACCAACAAAGCTGAAACTGGCCACCTGCAGCCGTCACAGGCCCGAAGGAAACATGGGCTCCGGAGCGCGTCACGGACTGCGCCATGCCAGCATTCTCGGCAAAGCGTCGCATGACTTCCACTGTGCCACAGGTCTCTGCCACCAGAAGGGTATCGTTCTCGGAGAGATGATTCCCTTGGAACTGGAAAGAGCATCTTTGCCCACTGATGCAAGTCCGGTCCTGTTGAAGTGGGGAGAGGCCAATGAGTTCAAAGCGACCTACATCTGTTGCAAAGTCTTCCGCCAAGCAAACCGACTCGGCGTCAGAATTGTTGGAGATATATGGACACCAGCACAGCCGATAGTCACCTCCAGGAAGCATCAGTCGAGAGGATGCCGTCCATCGCAGCGTGGAGGCATCGACAGGGCTCGTGGCGGAGCTCAGCACGGACCTCTGTGAAACAACGATTCTGCGTCACAGCAATCCGTGCTCCATCCATTTCACCACCGTGCCAGGTTTATCGGAAGCAGGATGCTACGATTGGTGGAAAACACTAAGAACAAGGACCTACTAGGAAACTTAAGTTGTTTGTTTAAGGCTTAAGGAAAAGTGCATGAGAGGAGCAGCAACAGCACGACCAGCAGCACACCAGACCGAATCAGCAAGGAATATGAGCACAAGCAAAAGCCGAGAAAGTAGCAGCAAAGAGTATTTGTAAGAGGATCAGCGGTAAGGGCAGCAGCAGCAAGGAGGACGAGGAGAAGCAGCAAGGGTCTCGTGGGAGACTTTCATGGCAAGTCAGCAAGCAATATCCACAAAGTGAGCAATTTATGGCCCCAAATCTGGACTGTCCAGCAATCATCCAGATCTTGAAAGCATTGCCCCGGCCAGCAAATCCAGCAAATGGGTTAACAACATGCCATGTGACCGAAAACCTTCCACATGCAACGAGCCAAACATACACCAGGCCCGACACATGCACCCTCCAAGTGCACACCCCAAGTGCTCCGCCTGACACGTTTTCCCTTCACCGAAGGTAGGACACCAGGCCCGACACCGGGGACAAGGCCGACACCTCTACTCCCGGCCCCACAAGAAACCAGCAGCCCTTGACCATCAAAGCAGCAGAAATGAGCGAGAGATATGCGAAACTCGGCAAAAACAAGGCCTCTGCAAAAAGAACTGGAAGAGCAAGAATCAAAAGTGCAACGAAGTATGTCAAGAACTCGTTTTACCATGTAACAAACACTCAGGGCTTTTACTTGCTTCAGTTGTAGTGCAATTCAGGGGGATGTTTCTCGCTGAGGCCCAAAACCTTCCGGCGAAAGGGTTCCATTCGACACCCACGCCGCAGGTCTCCAGAACTGCAAAGCTCCCAGGACGAGACTGCAATCCATGACCTGCCGGGCAGGAAGCGCTACTAGGTTCAAGGCCATCACTCTTAGGTTGGAGGCCATCGCTGTTAGAAACAAAGAAACATGAAAAGAAGAAAGATGTCTAATATAATTTGCTACTAGGGTGGAGGCCATCGCTCTTAGGCAGGAAGCGAGACCGTCGACCATCGAACCAACAAGTTGGAGCGGTCGATTGGTCGATGTCTGCATGGTCGAGAGGCAAGACAACTCGGCGTCTGGGGGACCGTTCTTTCTGGGGACCCAAAGGATTGACGATCCAGGATTTTCAGACACCCGACACGCAGGCCAATGTGGCCCAAAGAAACGCCCGGCCTGTGATGTACATCGAACAAGTCTGCCCCGACACGCAGGTCCTATCTTGTTGTAAAGCTGGCCCCAGCAGCATCAAAGTACCGACATCGATGCGAAAGTGCTCCGCGTCCTGGCAACTGTTGGTCACACTCACGCCCATTGAGCCACACCAACAAATTCGATATTCGCCTCCTGCTGCAGTGATGCTCCCAAGGCCGATGCTTCCAAGACTTCCATTGGCACCCAGATCGAAGGAAAGGGCTGGCAAATGCAACACTTGACTTGCCACACCACAGGTATCTAAGATCACCAGCTCGCTGCCTTCTAGATCTTGGCTTTCCATCTCTGGCAATCGACACCTTTCCCCACTGACGCAAGTCCTCACAATGCGATGGTCTGAGATTGGGCCAAGCAGGGAGAGAGCGCCAAAGTCAAGAACAAAGTCCCGAGGAGTACTGCATGCATAACTCGCAGCTGCGCACCAACAAAGCCGGTACTGGCCACTGGCAGCAGTCACAGCTTCTGCACCCCAATGGAACTCCACACCATAAGCTCCAGCTCCACTCGCCGAAGCAACCCACGCCCAGCGGGGAATTGCGATGTCTGTGCCGCACGTGTCCAATGCCATCACAGCACTGTTTTCATGCATCACTCCAAGAATCTCTCCAATTCGACAGGTCTGTCCAGAGATGCAAGTCCTGTCTTGATGAAAGGAAACTCCTTGCACACGCAAAGTTCCCATGTCGACCGGAAAGTTCTGAGTGCAAAGGGTGCCAAGCACACATCGATCTTGATCGCCTGTGAAATTGCCAAACGCGGAGGAGGTCGATGAACAAGTTGCTTCTCTTTGGCTTGACAGTTGATGTTGAGCGCTAGAAACTGAATCTTTCGTCCCAGAACACCAGCAAAGCCTATAGTCTCCAGCTGGAGCCGTCAAAGCCGAGAGTCCCCAGGAGACGGCATGTGAAATCCAGGCATCACCATCGCTGCTGTTGTCGACATGAGTTGTGAGGTTGAATGATGGAAAGCCACGAGTAAAGCTCAAAGCCCCACAACTGTCCAGGACCAAGATACGATCATCACTGGAAAAACCCACTCCCAACAACCCGTCCAACTTGCAGACCTGTCCTGCTGCACAGGTTTGATCTTGTTCTAATGGGACCGGACCGATCACATCGACTTGTCCAAAGGGTAAGGCAAATTCATTTGCTAAGTTGCAGCTAAAGAATGACGATGCACACCAACAAAGTTGGTATGTACCTCCAGCTGCAGTGACTGGTTGATCCCATGAGTTCGGAATACCTTTGATCCTCGAGTTGATGCCACAGGTCTCCAAAATCATGTATTCATCACTGCTTGCAAGGCCCACTCCCAAGACCAGCAGCTCACAGGGCATCCCCGCAAGGCAGGTGAATCGTTGCGACGTTTCAGGCCCAATCACCGTAAAGGTTCCAACATCCACACGAAAGTCTTCACCTCTGGTGCACCAAGACCTGCAGAACAAAAAACGATGATAACAACATCGGGGAGCGCTTGGACGCAACCGCAATGGGTATTTCTGTTGAAGCGATCTATCTTTACACAGTACGGTACGTGTCAAGATTGCAAGGGAACCACGTGACACGCTCGAACACACACTCGCGCACGCACACACTTATAGATATGCGTACGGAAAGGACTTGCGGCTTGCCACACGCCAGCCTAAGTGAAAACCTAAGGTACCAGGGTAAAGTAAGTCAGAGTAGGTTGGAGGCCATTACATCAAGGTTGGAGGCCAGCGCATCTAGGTGGGA